CTTTCGTGGTTGATTAGTTTGTCTTTGTTGTGTTCAAATTAGTGTTCAGGTTCTCAGGGTAAGCACCTGTACTCCTAGACCAAAGCAGTTCCCATGTGGGATCCAAGTTTTCAATCAGGAGGTGCTCGACGGTATTTGTTGCGATGTTTGTAGCAGTGGGTACCACCAGAAGTGTAGTACCCTAGCTAAAAGGGCATACGGGCTCTATTCTGAGCGCAGCTTCCTGAAGTGGGTGTGCTGCCTGTGTTAGGACGTGGAGAGAGACCTCATTGTTGGGGGGGGGACCCAGCAGATAGCTTCTGAGTCGTTGAAGTCGGCCGCGAGAACTGCCATAGTGATGCGACGCAGGGATTGCACTGTAGTTGAGAAAAGAGGTGCCGCATAGTGGAGCAGCTTCGAATAAGCTTCAGAAGGATATCGAAGTCTTAGTAGCTCGAGCAATGAAGTAGAAAGGGAAGCTGGTGGAGCTACAACAGGAGTTGAGTCAGTTAACCAGGAACATGCTTAGACTGGAGGCCAGCAGTGAAGTTGCCCTCGACAGACAGGAATGTCGTCATAAAAGGCATCACAGAACCGTTCTGCGTCGTCTCACGCCGGAGGAAACGAAATCTAAGGCATATCGTTATTAATCTCATGAAAATGGCAGGTGTGACAGGGCACGTTCTCTTGAAGTGAGTGTTCCGGTTAGGTAGGTGGACCGGCAAGCCAGGCGGTACCCAAGGGGCTGCCAGGTCGGTGATTAAAAGTTAGAAATGCGACACCTGGGGATAATCACTTGAAATGGATGGCTAGCCGCTTGCGCGCGGGATCTACGATGAAGAACAAGTGGGAGACGGATGCGGGAAGTTTACTAGAGCAAAATCCAAAGTAGTGTCAAAAGAATAAGGACAAAGAAGTGACTGCCCGACGGTGAGTTAGTGACTGCAAGTAACATGTTAGGGACTGGTCGTTGATGAGACGGATGACTTTACGTTGAACCCGATCAAAAAGAGAAAGAGAGGTGAACGACGCTCCACTCCACACAACTGCAGTATTCAAGTGTAGGGCGAATGTGAGCTTTGTGAAGCGAGAGGTGAATGGGGATGAAGAAACGTCTGGCGCGGGAGAGGAAACCAATTTTACACGGAGCGCGGGAGACAAGTAGATAAATATAAGGTGACCATGAAAGAGAAGAAGATAAGGAAAGATCCAATAGATTGCAGGAATATATGGAATGGAAAATGTTTGGGTAAAAATTTGTTGAAGGGGATAAATATGGGTGCTTAGGAGAAATGGACATTAGGGAAATTTTCCTGGCATTGAAGAGAACACGACTGCGGCAGCCCCAAGCAGAAATAAGGCCTAGATCAGAATTTACGGAGAGATCAAGAGAGGAGCTGTCGTCATTGATGCTGGAGTTAGCGACACGTGAGGAGAAATAGGACAAAGAAGAGTGTAGAGTAGCGTCATCGGCAAAGGCGTGAATAGGATTTGAAGTTGAAGAAAGAAGGTCCAACAAACATCAGAAAAAGAGAACGGGAAAGCACAGAACCTTGGGGAACACCAGCATTCACAGACACGGAACGAGGCATGACGTTTATTGATGACCTTTCTTCAACGCTACCGTTTTTGACCCAATTGCTGCTTGTAACGGGCAATCAGGCCCCGTGAACGACCAGGCTATACCCCCTATAGACGTCGTTTTGTTCTTAAGGGGTAAACCCGATTCTTTCCCGACTCTTTCAGGGGACTGGTTGCCTTCTAAATAGGGGCAATGTTCTATTCAGAGGCAAAGTGTCTTGAACATTTTTAGCTACCGTGGTAGCTCAGCTAACGGATGCTGATTTTTCCTTGGTGTCAGCCATCATAGACTCAACCGCCAATTTCGCTTCCATAGCCTTGGACGGTTCCGACAAAGTGATCCTTGGGAGGTCGTCAGTTTTTCTGTTAACTGCCTTTTCATCCGGGAATCCAGCTCTGAGTCGCGGATTTTGCATAATTTTCCCTATTATTTCCGGTTGTCTAATTATTTTTGTCCATCACTCTTTGGTATCGTTAGAGGATTCATCATTGTGGTCGTTCGCGGTTAATCTGATCCTACAACCTTGTTCTTTTCGATTTCAGTAATTTACCTGGGTGAGCATGAAAAGTGATAATCTCCTCCAGTTGTGTCTGCCCATTTTGCTGGGCCTTACATTACGATCTGC